TTTTTTTAAAATAAGTATAAATATTTTTACTGTTTTAATTATTTTTTTGTTTGTTTTTTGTAAAATTTGAAGACCAGTTTTTTCAAAAGTTTGTTTTTGTATAAACCCTAATTGCCATCAACAAGTTTTACATGTGGCATTTATATGTTGCCATCCTGGTTTGAGTCTAGGGCAGTCAGAGGGTCCAACATATCAGGCTTTTGTCCTTGTAACCTGAATATGGAAGTAAAACCACTTCTGAAATATGCATTTTCTTAATATACCTAGATGATGGATGAAGTCCAGAAAGAATATTTTATACAAGAAGAAACTGTAATTGTAAAGAACACATATGGAGAATGAGTTCCTTCAGAGTTCTGCAAAACAAATATAAGTTCATAGGAGAAATGAGGTCTCATGTAGACATGAATATTTTTTTTTGGAATACCCATTACAGACCAAGTAAGCCTAATACTGCATAGCATTACTCGTGTATTTTACTTCATTACATTTTCCCTTTGAATAGCTTAACAAAATGCTTACAGAAGTCAGTGGGTACAGTACTGAAATAAAATTTCTCTAATTTTACTGAATCTTTATATTGTCTGTGTAGAATATGTGATTTATTATTATTAGTGTTCTGTCTGACGACAGGTCCATATGAACAGGATCCTTCCATCCTTTTCTCGGACTGGGACCTGTTCATATACGTTCTTGGCAGATGATCCAGAAGTGGTTTGCCATTGCCTTCTTCTGTGTGTGAATGGAGTAATTGTTGGGATGCCCCGGAGGAAAACTCCGTGTTGCCTAGACCACGGCCTTGCCCAACACAAGTTATAAATTCGGGCACCGCCGGGAATCGAACCCGAGACCCCAGGGTTACAAGGCCAGCGTTCTAACCGCTAGACCACCTTGGCTTCTTTGGAGTGATTATAGAGTGTAATTTACTAGCTTCTCTCTCTGAATTTTAGGAGAAACAATCCTTCATCGTGTTTGTCGAAGAAATAAATTAGGTAAACTTAAATTCCTCTTAGAAGATCCAAACATTGATGTCAATGCTGCAGACAATTTTGGGTGGACAGCTCTTCATGAAGCAGTTCATTTTGGTGCTGTGGATTGTGTCCATGAATTGCTGGAGTACGGACTTCCAGGTAGTTAATTTTATCTAATGAAAGAAATTTGGTATAACAGAATGTTAGTCATGTTGCATAAAGAACTAATTAAAGGAGTACAAGACAGAGCATCTATTATATATACTTCTCGTTGCCTTATAGTGAAGTACCAAACAATTCACGGCCTCTTTACAATTTTAAGATACTTTTATAAGGTTGGTTCAGAAATTTTTCCTAATCGATTTATTTTCATCAAATGATTATGCAAACTTGATATTACACAACACCAAATTCAAAGTATAGCCATTGAGCACCTATACTTTCATTTAGCAGCCAAACCTGTGAAGTGTGTGGCATGTCTAGCACATAACACAATTCTTTATGTTTCTTTTGAAAGCAGCAATGTGCTTCAACATTCATTTCTCCACCACATTGTTTGAGTAATTAAATTGGGGGGGGGGGCAAAGCCCCTGAAGCAGCAGCACAGGGGGCATGGCCTCAGGGATCAAGAATGCTGAAGAAAGGCCAGGTTTGTAAAGCTGCTGAGGTGTTAACCTGAGTTTTGGGCAAGATCAGAGGAAAACCCAAAAGTGGCATGGCCCGATATGCCTATGGTGGGCAGTCCCAGTGGTGATCTAATCTGTAATGGTGGAAGCCGTGTAATGTCTAAGCCCAGTGAGGGCATGGCAAAGAATTTTGAAGGCCAAATGGTCTAGGCACAGGATAGGAAGCCCAGGCAGTAGAGCCTGTCAGGGAGCAAGTATGCTACCAACCAGGCCTTAAGGCCTGGTTGGTGAAGCACAGAGGGTTAAAAGTCTGTCTGGGAACAGGAAGTTCTCCAGGGGGCATAAACCCTTTGTGAGCAGTCTGAGTCATTCTGAGACTTGGGCTATCTAACCTGAGATGGTAGAAGCCCAGGGGCTCCCAGCCCTTCAATGACAAGGCCTGGGGGAGGGGGAAGCTACAGGAAAGTACTAATGTGAGGCAAGCTGATGGGGGCAAAGGCTGGGGGAAGAACCCCACCAATTTAAAAGTTGGGATGGAAGCCCCTGTTATATGGGGGGAACTACAGAGTGCAGCCCCTTGCATTTGGTTTGCCCTTAGGGAAGCTATGTGAGTTTTCTAACTCCTCAAAAATATGCAACAGACAGATATGGACAGGCCTTATAAGGTCTTCATTGCTCATACTAGACAGTGAAGAATGCCCAACAAGTGTAGAACGATGTCTTCTTTGGAGTACACTGAAATTCGAAAGACATTCTTCATGCCACAGCATGGGTGGTGACAGCATGTTGGTTTGTTGATAACCATGGCTCAGAGGATACGTACATTTAGACCACTCTTATTCAGAGTTAATAAAAAATGTAACAGTGGTATCCAAGATCACTGTTGTGGTAATGTGATCCAGTATCATTATTGTGAGTCAACACTGACCCCATGCAGTTCAAGGAAGTGCATTAAAAATTCACAAAGTTTAACATGTGATTTAATACTAATTGACAGCTTTGGATTTACAGTACGCTACATGTCTTAAGTCACAAATATACAGTGTCCATAAAATATATGCACAGTAAAGCACAGTCATAATCCATTGCAGTAAGTTGTTACTAAAGTTCAGAATGTGCCAATGACAAGTGCTTGACACACTTTGGTGAATCAACCATTGTTATTGTTGTTATGGGGTGATTGTAGCTGATATATGAGTAAATATAAAGCAGCTGTGGGATAACTCAGAGGACTCAGATGAAAACCATGGACTGTCCTGAATGCAAAACTGGGCGTTCACTGTGAGAAGCTGGAAGCTAACTTCCTCAGCCATGGAACAGCCACACTAGCAAATTCATTCTCATACCACAGCTCCTCTCATGTTTCTATGTTCTAATCCTTAGAATATCTAGTGGTTAGATTGGGGGATTGCCATGAATATTCCACCCTTTCTGACACTGTTGTAATTTATTTGTTTATTTGCTGAGAAGTGTAACTGAAATTATGTAATGGGAGGGGTTTAAAAATATTAAATCAGTCAAAACAAATGGGTCCATTAAGTTATTTGAAAATCTAGACTTTGGTTTTAATGATGGTTCATTTATTTTCATTTTATCATCTGAATAGTTGATTCTCTCTCTCTGTGCATGTGTGTGCGCACACACTTCTATACATGTGTTACAGCTGAAGCGAATAATTCCTTTTTTTGAATGACTGGAGTATAATGACATTCCACAGGCATTCTGCAGACCATATGACATCTCTGTAGCATTAATTTAACCAAGGTAAAAGTTGTGACTATGGGTCATTCTTGCACTAATATTGCAACCAGTATTGTGGAAGAACAGTGATGTCAAGACCTTGTGGCCAAGGCAGGGGTGAGGCAAACTATCGGGCAGAGCCCCTGGACAAACAGTCATGGGGGCCAGGCATCAACAAGCAAGTATTCTGGGAAAGAGGCTGGAAAGTAAAGACCCAGGGGTTGTCTAAAAAGTTTGTTAGGTTGGGTACATGGGGCATTACCTAGGGGTCCCCAGGTGGTGTTCCTATGAGGGTACTCTACATACATGACCAGGGGGGGTCATTGTTTCTGTGGGGTTACTCAACCTGCATAACTGCAGGTTATTGTTCCTCTGTGTGTACCCAGTCTGCATGACCTGGGGTGATATTAGTTCAAGAATGACTGAAGAGTCAAAAATGACCTAAGATCAGATTAGTGCAACGAAAACGTGTGTGATGTAATGTGAAGAATGCCTGTGGAATGTCACAGAGAAATCAACATTTCAGGTGATAAGTAAAAATAAATTAACCATCTTTAAAGCCAAATGTCTTGATTTTCAATAACACAAGGGGCCTATTTGTTTTTATTGATTTTATTCCTTTTTCGTAATTTTAATTACTCATTCGCTTTTACTGAGACAGGCAGAAGCCAGGAGGTTTGAACAAAGTGTAGCTAGAGGGATGAGTCGCAAAATATTTATATGACATACTAACTTTTTAGGCTCAACATTTTCCATTGAAGATTCCCAGAATTACACTGAAAGATTTGTGCTGTATAATTTCATGTTTCAGGAGGTTGTAATATTCAATGATAATTATTTGGAATATATCAAAAATGACATTGCAATCATTCAGGTATCAAATTGAGACAATTTTTGCTGTAAATTTTACTATGTTCTTTGTGTGTACTAAGAAGTTCCTCTGTTTTAACAGGTTATTGCAGAACAGATATGCGTTCGCAAAGTAAAGATGGTACTACTCCACTAATTGATGCAGCTGAGAGCAATCAGCTAGAATCATGTAAATTGCTGCTTAAATATGGAGGTAAGTTTTGCCCTGTTACAGGAGAAAACTATTTCATCTCGCAGTTCTCAGTTATAATTAGAAGTGATCAGATCCAAGTTTTTGGTTTGTAAGGTTTTTGACTTGCTTGGTTAAATGTGTTCTCTTTTCCCACCTTCTATTGCAGGTAAGTAATATGGTACTTTTAGTACAGTACATGTTGTTTCTTTTTCCTCTTTCCAATTCTTGTTGCTTCATTGCCTGTGGTGCCTGTAACTGTTTATAAGCCTTATTTCCATTTAGGTTCCTCTTTGTTAAAAGACAAGAACAACAGAGGTATGAACGCGCTAGATGCAGCAACTGCACCTGATATTAAAGCTCTTTTGGAGTCTTTCGGAACAGAAGATAATGAGATCATCAAAGGAGAAGCAGTTTACTCTCCACTGCCATCAGTAGTTCCAGTGTTGTTGCCAATAATGTTCCGTGCTTACATGGATACATATCAGACATTACACATCGTGGAAACACTTAACAGTTTTATGCATGACAGTGACACTAAAACTATACATACAAAAAGGAAGGGTAGGCCAAAATTTAAGTTTGATTCTGCAAGGTTCTTGAAGGATTACAGGAGTTTTAAAAAACTGAAAGGTATTATTAGAAGTGAGGGAGAAAAGAGCCATGACAATGAGATAATTAGAAAATTTCTGTTGTTGATTTGAATGTGTGTGTTGTGTGTCACTTGAAGATGTTAAGTTCACCAAGTACAAATCTTTCCATAATTATTAAGACTGTCTTTATTTTTGTTAAGAAATGAGATATATACATATATATGCAAATGTTATCATTAAACTTTCTGTATTTCTTGGTGTCAACTGTGTGTACACATTCTGTGTTCATTCCATACATATTCATTATATATAGAGCTGATTTTATGTACTGTGAGGTTTGGACACATAATTTAAGTTGTGGATGTAATTTTTCACAGCCATAATCATAAGTTTCTTTAAAAAATTGTAAGAAATTGCTCTATTCACTGATATAGCTACTATTTTAATTTCTTTTTCATTCCTAGTTATCTCCTCTTCTGACTTAGGGGAATGTTTTAAATTATTGTGTGTGAAAAGTGTTGATTTTTTTTTCTTTCCCCAGAGGACTGAAGGAACTAGTGAAGTTGTGTTATAAAAATTTTGTATTACAGGAATAATAAATTGTCAGTATTTTCATACCTTGACTTTTGTGCATTTAAATTATTGATTGCCTTATATACACTACACTGCAATAGTGTACTTCGTTAATATGTTTCCATAGATAAATCACACACTTGGGCATTGTGTCATTAGTTATACTGTATGAACTTATTCCTGAAAAGGAATGTGGATGTTATCTGAGAGAGAATTATAGATACAAGAGTGCTGTCTTAAAATTAAGAGTGGTGCAAAATATACATAAGATGGAGAATTATAGGACTAATACAGTATTACTGTACTGATTTTCTAACATCATATAATTTAAGTATTTCCAGTTTAGAACTGGGTTGACACACATTTTACATTGATCCTGACTAGTGGTTTGCCTGCATACAGAGCATACTAGTACTACTTTGTAAAGGTTCACAGACCAGCATTTACCTCCACAAAAACTGGAGAGTAAGTACAGTAAAATCCCTCAAGCTGGACACCCTTCTATATTAGACACTTTTAATTGGAACTGGCGAAAATATCCTATAATTTTACATATCCACAATACCCTATATCTTGGACACCGCTGTATCCTGGAACTTGGTCACCCCTTGTGTTGTAAGTTGGACAGGTGCGTGCATGCATGCACTTAGCTTCAATGCTTTTATGGGAAACATTTACAGTTAGTATTTTATTGAAGATAGGTGTCTTCTGCGTTGTTGCGCTGTGTAGTCTGGTTGATGTTCACCAACGTTTCAGAGGTCATACTGCCTCCGTCATCAGGGCAATGAATATGCCAATAGGGTGTGAGGTGCTAGGTTCATAGGGCCAGAAAGTGAAAGGTGTAGCCTGCCCCAAGCCAATGGGAGCATGCCACCTTGTATTAACATCATCGTACTTCAAGTTTGGTGGCCAATTCTACGAACAGACCGATGGGGTGTCTATGGGTTCCCCACTATCACGTTGGTTAACATCGACCAGACTACACAGCGCAACAACCCAGAAGACGGAAATCTTCATACTCACCGCTGTGAAAACCTCAAATCTTACATAGTATTTTATTGTTTTGAATTTCTGACTGATGAATGCCTTCTACCTGAGGATTAGCTTATGGTTGAGGGTGTGAGACATTGAACACATCATTGGAATGCAGTGAAAGTGTATAATTATTCTTTTGTTGAACCCTTCACTGGACTACAGTAGGTATTGCTGGTACAGTTTTAACTTTGTCAGTACTGTACTTGCAACTGAGTTAAACAGTGTTAACAGAAATTGGAACGGTATGCGTTCGCTCATAATCAACCAGGAGTGGTTGAAATTTTATTTGGATTGCGGCGAAAATTAGAAAGAGGATGGGCAAATTCCAAGATAAAAGCAAAAAAGCAGTGTCTTGTGACGGACTTTTTTACAAGAAATAAGTGATATCATATGTTGAGCTAATGCCATAAGTTCAATTAAAAAAATACATTCTGAACATTTAAAATTTCATTGAGGCTGGGGTGTAATGCAACCATGGGAGTGGGTTTCAAAAGATTATTATTATTGTCATTAATTCTTAATTCAAGCAAGCCTACAGTAGTTAGATTATGTAAGTAAATAGATTACATTGTCGGTAAACGTAAAGTATTGGTGCCCTTCCCTCTGTGGCTCCTATAAATGTAGCCCCACCCACCCTATTGGCATATTCATCGCCCTGATGACGGAGGCAGTATGACCTCTGAAACGTTGGTTAACATCGACCAGACTACACAGCGCAACAACCCAGAAGACAGAAATCTTCATATTCACTGCTGTGAAAACCTCAAATCTTAACATAGCTTTGGTTTGTTGAGTGTCAGGGAGTTGAACTCAGAAGTGTTGGGATCACTTTGGCTGATGGCCTCTGAGACTTGCGACAGGGGGATACTTTAGCTGATGATTGGAGAAGGCGGGCCTTGTCCCTTTTGAATTTCCCCTGGCACAAGTGTCTTCAAAGTTGTCGAACTAACGGTACCCTCCATCAGCTTACTTTGAATTGAAAGGCAGTGCTCTGATGTGGGCAATGAAGTTTGGAATCCTAAATTCTTTGTGAATGTGCCTGTTACGTATCAAGGTGCACTAATCGCAATGCGAAGGCACTTGGATTGTAACATTTGCAACATCGGGACCTGGCTGCCAGGCAGCGGACCTCCAGATTGGACACGTAATCCTTCATAGGACGGAGCTGCTTATCGTTTCTGCAGAAAAGGCCACTTCTCGTGTTACCGAGGGGGCCAAGCACACCATATCTTAGAGCTGCCTTCCTTCCCACCTGGCTGACGTGTGTCGACCAGGTAAGCTGAGTATCAAGGGCTACAGCGAGATACCGTGCTGTTTCGAACCACTGTATTGGCTCTGAGGGAAACTGAACTGCTTTGGGTTTCTGAACGAGTCTGGCGGCCTTAACAAAGAGCAAAGTGATGCTCTTCGAGACATTGATGGCAATGTCATACATTGGTTTTTTCAGTCCCCCTCCCCCCGTTAAACTCTCGTATTTATGTAGGCTTCTGACTGCTATTCCCATAAATTATCACTGCATACGACACACGAGTGTGGAGCGAAAGCTACTAATAATAATAATCATGAGAGCCTAGCTGCTAACCACATATAAAGGATACCAATTTAGCAGTGACTCGCTACTGACTGCTTTCAAATGTCTGTAGCTGTGAATCCAGGAAGAGAACATAGATTAACAACTTCCGAGAAATGCTGAAACCATGGATAACCTATCAACCTACGTAGGTTGGAAGAATGGTCGTGACGTCACTGAGCCCCAGCGGTCGAGATGTTGTATAATACTCAATTTTAGTTGTAGTTAAATAATTTCAATGTGGTGTGCTGGTTAATGAGTTGTCGTATCAGTAGTGTGGGAAAGTACAATCTTTAAATATTCATAATGTGAATTAAACTTATATGCTGCTGACAGCGCTGTCTTATTTTCTGTTGGCTATTACAGTACATATTCCAGGGCCAGATATGGAGAAGATGTCCTTGTGGCTGTCAATGTCATATTAATAAGATGAAAAATGCTTCAGTTTTGGAAGAAATCTGGTTAGTTTTTGGTGTCGATAAGGTGATAATGTAATAATAATTGTTTATATAATGTTCGAGCTATGGATAAGCATTCATTATTTAGAATGTTAACGATGAGTGTTTTTCCTAACCTTACTTTAATTTCTATGAATTGATAGTAGATTAACAAAATGAAGTGTTTGCTTACTAAACCATGTTATTTTGTACGTTTGGAAACTGCGATCTCTTTTTTAGAGTTGTGTTTACATTTACGGATCCGTGAAGGTAGGTGCAAATGATTAATGACTTAGAAGACATTTCTGTAAATAGTTAAGATAATATTTTCTTTTATTACTAAATCAAGTTTCCCAAGATTGTATTATTATACTGTTTATAATGGTGAATTGTGTTGTACATAAAGTGATTTTAACATTTTGTATCTTAATTGCGTCATGTTTGTGTTATATCAATACATATATTTATTTTTCCAGTCTATACACAAAACTTGTTTTAAAATAATGTTGTTAAAATTATTTATAACATTTACAATATAAATTGCATTATGTTATATTTTATGGCGCTTTTCTGTGTCGTATAATATTACATTACTATTTATTTTAAAACAAGTTTTGTGTATAGACTGGAAAAATAAATATATGTATTGATATAACACAAACATGACGCAATTAAGATACAAAAAAAAAATTAAACAGCTGTTTTGTTCTTCACACTCATGAACATTTTTGTCTGAGGTTAACTCAGATTTGTATCTTCTGTGGCAGACAGTCGACTTGATAACTGCCAACACAGAAACTGTCACATAGCAATGTCTTGCACTGACCATGAGTAGAATTCAATAACGCGGCATCACGGATGAATGCATGCAATACCTGTACGGTTCATTATTGTAAAATACAGCGCAGAAGTGTAAATAATAGGGCGTTAACTTTAACATATTTTATACTTTTAATCATCATTTATTATAATGATGTCTGTAAGTAGACGAACTAAGCAAAATTTTGACACAGGAAGATTTGATTTGAAAAAAATCAATGAGGGAGAAGTAAAGGGACACTATCAAGTCAAAATTTTGAATAGATTTCAAATTTCAGAGACAAATAAAGATGATGAACGTGTGGATGTCAACAGGGAGTGGGAAAATTTCTGAAATTATATCAAATTTTCAGCAAACAGAAACTAGGATACTGCAGGAGAAAGCAAAATAAACCATGGTTTGATGAAGAATGTTCAAAAAGAATAGATGTAAGGAAGCAAACAAACTCTCATTTGTTACAGGACCCAAACAAAACAAATATGGATAATCTATGTAACATGAGATGTGGAGCTAGTAGAACCTTTAAGAATAAAAAAGGGGAATATCTGAAAGGCAAAATTATTGAGATTGCAGGCGTTTGAGAATAGGGTGTTGAGGAGGATATTTGGGCCTAGGAGAGAATGGGATGGGGTAAAGGCCACTGAGGAGACCTAGACATAGATGGGAGGATAATCTCGGGGATCTATGGGAGAGGAGTTGAAGGAGACTGGATTTTGTTGGTCCAGTACAGGGTCTGGTGGAGGGAATTGGTGAATTCGATGATGAACCTTAGGGTTCTGTAAGCCATCTAGTTAGTTATTTAGTTACAACAAACAGTACATCTGCTGGGACAGAATTTAATTAGCTGTGTGTGTTGGGCAGGACAAGACATGCCTGGCTTGTGTCATTTAGTATTTAGCTGATGTGTGTGAGTCATGCAATATCTGCAGTAAAACAGAATAAAATTTATTTACATTCTGTAGATCCTTCATAGGTGTAAGCCATAGAGATAGAACACATCATGTCACAAATACAGTATTTTTTTCTGATACAGATATAAATTGCATAGTTATGACAGTAATTTGCAGTCAGCTGAAATATTACCACTAAAATAATCATATATGGCACAAAAATCACAGTTGCTTACATGTCTTTATAACAGCTGAAAATTTTTGGTTGAGGTAAATTCTTTTATGGAGTAGGAGGAGCGAGATAGGAGATACTCTTTTAGCACTGGCTTGAAGTACAAGCAAAATGAAATGATAAAGCTGTGAAAAGAAGAGTTCTTAACATTCCTGAAAATGTCAGTTCAGTTGCAGTTTTTCTATCACCTGATGCTAAAATTTTTAAACAGTTAAAGGACAAATTTCAAGATTTAACAACTTCAGAAAATTTGAAGGTCACAATGTTAATTATTTCGCCTAATAGTTGGAGTATTTGGAAAGTTCAGGAAGTTTCTAACTGTATGATAGGAAAGCAAAGAAACTTATTACAGACTAGGGCATTATGTGTTTTCCTAATCTGAAACCAGGCAAAACTTTAAATGAAGTTGAATTCACATCCAGTAATCAAAGTAAATTCTTCTAACTTTGTATCCATGTATACCACGAACTGTATTATGTCAGGTGCAAGTGGGACATATTATTACTGTCAGTACATGCCAGTTGTCGGCAACGATGATTTATAATATTATTATATATTATTATTTATTTACTGCAATTGGGTTTGCACCCAGTGGCAGTGGTCCTTACACTACACAATTACAACAAAATACATATAATATAAACAAGTACACTCCATAGAACACCCTACACACATAACTAGACATCCACCCCTACAAAAACATTCCACCTTACATGGACACACATACACACAATACAAAAACACACACACATTTCAGAAACACACGTCCATTAATTAATCACAATACTTTAGAGTAGAATATGAAGCCAGACCTCAGTACATGAAACTTTTATCCCAAAGAACTAAAGCACGTCATCACTTTGAGACTAAGCCATTTCACTTCTCTTATCACCATCTAATCCCCACTTAATAACCCCTTGCTTGTAACTACTTTTCTGACTCTCTTTCTAAAGGTGCCTAATTTACAGGGGAAAGACTCTAGCATGCCTGTAGGTAATTGGTTCCAGCTTCTTATGGTCCTATTTACAAAGGAATATTTGCCAACATCCGTTCTTTGTTTCCTAGTCCAAATTTTCCGACTATGATCGTCCCTGCCCAGGTAGCATAGCTTTAGTAATCTATCCCCTATCGTTCGTATAATTTGCAAATTTAGCCGCTCTCTTCTGCACCTGATTTAGGGCTCTTACCTGCCCTTCCCTGTATGGGTCCCAACACACAGCTCCATATTCAAGTATCGGTCTCACTAGTCTTCATTTCATTTTCTACTGCCCATTCCCATAATCTATTCAAATCTGTCTGTAACTTATCAGTGTCACTACTATCCATTATTTTCCTGTATATTATACAAACATCAATGAAACGCTCCCTTGCGGCACTCCTGATGTTACCCTGACTTCATGTGATAGTTGCCTGTCCACTCTTACTCTTTGCGAATGTCTTAAGAGAAATTCCATTACCCATACCACTACCCTCAAGTCCACACTGGTTGCAGAAATTTTTGTAATCAGCCTGTCGTGTGGCACTAAATTGAATGCCTTTCAAAAATCTATTATAACCGCACCAATCCTGATTCCCTCGTCCAATGAATCAGCAACATCTTGACAAACCGTGACTACTTGACTTTCACATGAGTACCCTGGTCTAAACCCATGTTGACCCTCATATAACCACTCACTCCTTTCCCAGACTTGCCTTAGATAACCTGCTATAACATGCTCCATTTGCTTGCAAACCACTGAGGTTAAACTGACTGGTCTATAGTTCCCAACTACCGATTGATCTCCCCCTTTATAAATAGGAACCACTATAGCCTTCTTCCAGTCCCCTGGGATAGAATTGTTGTTCATCATTATCTCCAGCAGTCTCGCAAGGTATGGAATCATTGCTTCCCCACCTAACTTTAAAATTTCCCCGGTAATGCCATCTGGTCCGACGGATTTATTTCTCCCAATTGCTGATAGTCATTTCCTTATGATATTGATACTAATGGTAAACGTTTTATCTGAATCTGTTGATTGGATTAGCGGATTATTTCGTTCACAACTGAATAACGACGCATAATAAGAGTTTAGGGAGTTGGCCTTTTCTATTGGATCTGTGATGAGGTTTCCTTTATAGCCCTTGATTGCAGGAATAGTTTCTCTATTACCTATGTATGTGTGTGTACAATTTTCCAAAGTGTGAAGTTAATGTTGTAAGCCTGCTAAATACCTGAAATAGCAACAAGTAATGAGCATCTCTGTTCTGTGTTCAAACATTCTCTCAAGTATGATTTTCAGTCTACCCCAAACAATTTTTTTGTGACTGCAGTGAATGTCATAAATTTACATATAATAACCTGAAATGTATTGCAGAAAAACTGTGTTGTTTAATAATCTAATAAAATAAATTTAGTTTAATGTGGTATACCTCAACCAAGAAGGCACAAAATGAGAAGATTAAGAATTAAATACCATATAACTTTGTTCTATTTAACAAAAAAGGGATGAGTAGGTTCTATATCAAACTCGGTGGTGTATCTGAAATAGTAGGAGGTGGAGCATTATCTGTGGATGCTTCGGGTATTGTTAATTATGTTGGAACCTTCTTTTGATTTGCTCTGTAAATAATTTAAATGCAAGCTCACATTGTTTCTTCTGAGTTTGTCAATGGAATGCATCCCTGACTTAAAGGCTGCAATTGTAACATAAACTGTTTTCTCGCAATATGACCCAATGTCAGTTGGTAGTTGAAAATATGAAGTTATTCTAATTGATCCTTACAATTTAAAAAGTTATTCAGGGAGGGTAAGCTAGGGACAGTAATGAAGTTTGTGGGACATAATTTAAGGTTTCAAATATTTGCACATTGCCAGCCACTAGACGCATTGGAATCTTTTCTTTCTATGGTGCAACGGCCTGAAGTCGAGCCTTGGTCTCCTCCCATGAGGGAGGTTTCTTTGTCTTTGAAGTGTGCATCTGTGAGTTGTGAGTGACAAGCCCACTGCATCTGCACAATTTCTACTCAATCTGGAATTGTCTGCTAGAGCCATCTAGTAGTGAATCAGAAGAGACTTGGTCGAGAAATGGCCACTGAATTTTGCTTATGAAACATCTCGTTCATGCTCATAAGGTTCTTTTACACGCCATAAATCTACAACATGGGACCACCGACTTTACTTCCTGTCCGAAGGAAGTTGTGGTATGGATTTTTATCACTCTTAAAAATCCATTGACCTCGGCTGGTTTTGAATCTGCGAACCTTGGGTCCATTGGCGATCATGCTAACCACTAGTCCACTAAGGGCAACTATGCTTTTTTATCACAGTAGAGAAAATGGTAATGCAACTGCAGAAATCAAATTGTATGTTGTTCATGAAACCAAATCGGTGAAGACAGTACAGGAAAAGTTTTGAAAAGTGTTGAGCTGTACCAACCTATTATACAATCCATTTATACTTTATACAAGCAGTTCACACATAGTGTTTTCTTTTTGTGCAAATACAAGTGTCCAGGGCATTCACCTGTTTCTGAAATGACTGTGGACAGTGTGGCAGACAGTCATGTGCAGTGCTTGAAAGTCAACAAGATGTACAAAAAGGGCACTTGCCATTCCTCAGACACTGGTATGGAAGATTGTTATGAAATATTTGCAATTGAAGTGCTCCAAATATTACAACAACTTTAACCAGACAGTACTGTTGAGCATACTCCATTTTATGCTAAAATAATGGAAAAGATTTCTGTTGAAGATGATTTCCTGTCCCGCATTGCTTTCAATGATGAAACCTTCTGTCATGTACTAGGAACCATTGGTCTGTGCTGAGGGGATTTCTCAGGTCTGTAGTTGGATATCGGGCCCCATATTCACTGTGTGGTTCAGTGATCAACTGCACTGTGAACAATAAGCATATATAAGTTTTGAGTAAGAGGACTCTGAAATATTGAGTCAGGGTGGAAATAAAATAAATGTTGGAAGTATATTACTTCTATATGATTTGAAGCTTTTGCAGCAACGTAACTCAATAAAACCTTCTCGGGTGATCAGCCATGTCAAATGGTTAACCCTTTAACGCGGAGATTTAAAGTCCGAGGTTGTGTTCATCCTGGGGTAATACTTTCTTAGTGTCCCTTTAAATTTTGCTCTAAATTACTATATTTATCATAACTTTGGAACTATATGAGATATAATTAAAAGACAAAACTGACGTTTCAGGAACCATCTTTGTCCCCATCATCAGGGTTCTGATGTGAATGCGGCTGATCGCCTGAGAAGATTTTATTGATATTACTTTTAGTTACTGGGTGTAAAGTACACATTATTTTCACAGAAATTTTACACTGCAGTAAAAGATACCTTTGAATGCTCACCTTTGTGTGCCCTGTATTATTTATCAGCCTTGTCCAATTCTTTTCTGTATTCACATAAATGCTCTTCTTCTATTTTTACTCACTGTTTCCCTATTTTGTTGAAGCTCAGCTATGATACAATTTTTAGTTTGTTGTTTATGTCACCAGATAGCTATGTTCATGTGCCTTGAACAGGCTTCTGGAAGTCCTTGCAGGCACTAAAAGTGTCAGGGTACAGACACTGTTTTGTGTAGCTTCCATTACCTTAATCTTCACCTAGCCTTTGGTAATTTATTTGCCATCTTCATTTCTGATGTCCTGAAGGGAATCCTGTTATCTTGTGTAACTTCAGCACATACCAGAACACTATATCCTCAATTTAATCACTTTTTATTATGATGTTTCAACCTGCAGATTTTGCCTATTATCCTGGATTCAGATTTTATGTCTTCTTTGTTCCTTAATACTTCTTGTATGTTTTATATATATATATATATATA